AATGAGGTCTTAGACTTGGGTTTTGTTTAGAGCTGTCATATAATGTTGCATCGTGTTTCATCACTAAATTTATTTTCGCAGCACTAATTAAGCCCCTTCACTTTGTCATATTTTGTTAAAATTAAAGTTAACTAAAGAAGTCATCTGCCATACCTAGACTGATGTTTTTGTCTAAGTTTTACCAAATCAACTAATTCTTTAACTTATGTGACAATTTAAAGAAAAAAAAAAAGATGTTATTTTAATGGATCATGATTGATGCACACCCGGATTCAACACCCGGGTGTGCACACTCCACATAAAAAAAATGGACCGAGTGTTCTCCATTTTTTATGTGGAGTGTGCACACATCATTTTCTTATTTTTATATACTCTTTTTATTTAACTTTAGCAGTATTAGTTTAATTTTTGAATTTTTTAAACATAATTTTAAATAAAAACTTAACAATTTATATAAATCATAATTGAAAATTTTTTTATTTTATATGTAATTCTTGTTAAATAATTTTATTTGATAATTTAAAAACTTTCAACTATTATTTATATAATATGTTAAATTTATATTTAAAAATTTTAAATATCAAATTAAAATTACTAAAGTTAAATAACTATAGTAATTGACAAAGCGATGTTGACATGGTCTTTTCCTCACTCTAATCTCCTTGTTCAATTTCCGCGCATGATAAAAATCTCACCGGGAAAAGCATTACTCCGTTAACTGAAAATTACAGTAATGTGACCTTTCTTGTTAATTTTGATGTTAAATAGTCAAGATATAAAGCACGAGGATTTCATTAACTCAAAATTAAGCTCAAATGTAAAATTGAGAAATAGAAACTTAACCAACTTAGGAATTATTTCTTTTTTAACATCATTTTAGATATATATATATCTTTTTTTTTGAAATTGGGATATATAACGGCATAAAGATGATACAGTATACAACAAATTAATGTCAGTGAATTGAACTTTGGTCTTGACCACATCCAAAGCAACCATGCGGTCCATTTTAGAGTTATTTCCAAAGAGATTGCATCCTAAATATACACACATATACAGAAGTCGACATAAATAAATTCATCATCGATTCATTATTGTTTCCACCTTCTATCATTTTCATTAATTTACTTTTTCAAATTCCTTACATTAATTTTTTGATCAAACCGAAATGGACATTTGATAAGTAGATATTTTAGTTTAAAATGTTGTATAATATATTTATTAAAAAATATTATTTTCTATTATAAAATTAAAAATAAATAAATTTAAAAATATAATTATATATAATATAAAATTTGATTAAGTTAAATTATATTTACATTTTATTTTAATTATTAAATTAAATAAATATTAAAAAATATATTAAACAAAATATATACTAATTATTTTTTAAGCAAAACATAAAATATAAATTTTGAATAATTTGTTTGATATTCACGTCCATCGATGTATTAATTACTATATTTTTTTTCAAAAAGTTATGTATATCTTTTTTTTGAACGTGAATGAAGTTTGAACCCCACCTATAAATTTATGTGAAAAATCTCCAAAAAGACAGTGGTGGTCATTAGCCACTAGCACCTTCTCCGAAAAAGTCATGTAATTTTTTTTTTTTTTACAAGAATAATAGTTATAAAGTTAGTAAGAATTAGTTGTTAACAACTGGTTCTCAGATTGGATAAACATTTCACCTCCTCAAATGAGG